AGTTTTAATTAGTGTTCTAGTATGTATAAAGTTAGTTATTATATAATTTACTATTTTATTAATTATTAATACATAAATTGTGTATACAATCTTAATGTTTTCAGACTTTGGTTCATTTATAAACAAGTGTATATAGTTTGTTACTATAATAGTAGAGTTAATCTAATACTTTCATATTTTGAATCTGGATGTGTCTTTTAATTATACAATATTGTGTTTAAAGTGTTTAGAAACATTAGTAAGTTTGTAGTAAGTAGGATTTGTTCTACTTATTTGCTCTAAAGTTGTAGATAGATTTGTTTCAGTTCTAATTAATGTGTGTGTATTGTAAGTACTTAAGGAGTCTATTATAAATGTGTAGTATTAATGTAAAGTAGTATAGTATAGTTTTATAATAGTAATATAAGGTATTAAGTAGAGAGTACAAAACTTATAACTTGTTAGAATGTATATTCTTAAGTTATTACACAAGTAATAAGAGTGTAGACTCTAATAATAATATGTATTTAGTTAATAAGTTGTTTGTTTTTATATTATTTGTCTGTCTGTATGTCTTAAATATCTAATATATTATTATCTTATATTTAATACTTATTATGTATTTAATACATGTTTTGTATTATATATCTGATACATGTCTCTTAGTTCTGTGTCTGTTTTATTAGTTCTGTGTCTGTTTCATTTGTATGTGTATTAAATAAAAGTTTACATATATTAAGTTAGATCTACTTATAATAACTAGTTAGGTAGGACTGTAAGAGTAGTAGTTAGTTTAAGAGAGTCTATGTTTACTCTACAAAAGGATTAATACTAGACTAAAAGAGGTAATAAATAGAAGAAGGGTAGTAAAAGTTTAAAAGAGTTTAAAAAGCTTAAATTTTAAAAGATTAGTATAATAGTAAGTACTAATACTTAGAATGTAAGACAGTTGTAGAGTAGTAATAAGTAGTTTTAATCTAATATTAGTAACAGTATAGAGAGGACTTAAAGGCTTAGTAAGAGAGCTTAAGCTACAACTATTCTATATAATAGAAGTAACAGAATATAAGTACTAGAATATAGTCAGAACTTGTACAATAGACAGATAGAGAGAGTAAGACAAGTATAGAGTATATAGATTGAGTTTAAGAGTATAGAACTATTTAGAGTAGACAATAATAAGACTATAGAACTAGTCTGATCTTATACATGTATATATACTAAACTATATAAGAGTACTTAGAGAAGGATGAGTTATAAAGAATAAAGAATGAAAAGGTTAAAGACATGTAAACAAAGAATAAAGAGATAGAAGAGTAAAGAGTAAGAGACCTTAGAATAAACAAAGAATAAAGGGGTGAACAAAGAAAAGAGTAATAAGGTAGAAAGGAGTAGTAGTAAGAGTTACTAAGAGAATTAGTCTGTATATAATCTATATACTATATACTTGAAGGATAGAAGTTCTAAGTTCTAAAACAGAAAGTGACAGAACTGACAAAACTAAGAGTATAAGAGTAGTAGATTGTAATAATCATATTATATTATAAATAAGAAAAACTACTATTATACAAATAATAAAACATTATAGTAATAACTATAATACAGTATTTGACAAAAGTATTATATAGACCTAATCTATTAATTAAAAAAGATTATATACAGACAACTAAGAACTATAATTATAAGATATAAGTACTATTATTTACTATATAATATAGTAAAAAAATGAGTTAAAAAAATAACTATATATATTCTAAAATAGGAGAAAACTTGTAAGATTGTACAAATGGTTACATACATTTTTTTTAGTTATACTATACTGTAAAACATTGTACCATACTAGTACTCTATTACTATTAATAATACTCTGTATTTTGCTTAATTTAGACTACTCTGAATCTACTAAAATGACTCTATATTTTATACTAACAAAAAAGTAATGTATTTTAGACTAGAAGAGTTAAAAGTTGAGTAATGTCAAAATTACACAAAAACTTGATTGTAATGTATTAACAGTCTCTTAGAACTATTACAAACTGCTCAAAAACCCTAACCTATACTATGTTAAACTCAAACTAGACTGTCTACACAAATTTAACATTTATAAAGTATACTATACTGTCTATTTACTTACTTTAGACAAAGTAAAGGATTCTAACAATCTTAAACACAAGTACTTCCTGTCTAATTCTGTATAAACTATTTATTGTACTCTTAAAGAATATAGAATAGTAGCCTGTGTCCCTCTTATTAAACTATACTTGTCTAAGAAGTATATTACTTGTAAGAGAAATTAGATTAACAAACATTAGTTTTAAACTCTTAAAAAGTAGGAAAAGGTTATTTTCTTAGATGAGACGAAAATTAATCTATTCAAGCAGGATAGAAGGAATATTGTGTATAGGAGGAAGGGGGAGTCACTCTATACAAAGAATGTAAAGAAGGTTATTAAGTATAATAGTAAACATTTTATAGTTTAAGAATACATTACTATACATAGTGTTGACTGTCTTCATTACATTGAAAAGAATATGGATTCTAGCCAATACATTCAAATCCTTAACAAATCACTTCTTAGCAGCCTTTCTAACTACAACATTCTATACACTAAGTTTCTCTTTCAGTAGAATAAAGATCTAAAGTATAAATCTTAAGTAATATTAAAATAGTTATAAGAAAAACAAATCAAACTTCTTAATTAAGCCCCTTTGAGCCCAGACATAAACATTGTTAAACATGTCTGGTACTATCTTAACAATAAAGTACAAGCTTGAAATCCACTTCTAAGAAACATTAATAAATTGTAGAGAATTTTACAAGAGGAATAGTACTAAATAGATAATAAGTATATTATAAGTTTGTATACTAGTATGTTTAGACAAGTTAATACATTAGTAAAGGCTTAAGGAGGGTATACTAAATACTAAATTACTATATTAATATAACAAATTTTTTTAATACAAATGTGTAATATAATAAAATTATTAAAAGTAATCAAAAGAAATACACAGACACTTTTTCTTAAATTAAAGTATATTAATTATTATAAGTAAGTATTAAGTCTAATTATTATACTAACATTATATACACAAGGTCTACTTTAATAATACAGTATTTATTTAATATAAGCTAATATAATAATAATTTTAATAAAGAAAGAAGTTTGTAAAATACTAATGTATAATACTTTTGTCAAATACTATAGTAATAATAATAAAACTATAAACAAACAAAACACTAAAGAGATCCTGTAGCTCTCTTAGTAATTATAATTGAACTTACAATCAATTTATTATATTAAATATAATAATAATACATTAGACAAATGTAACACTTATAGTAATATAAATAATATTAGTAAAAACAATAGATGAACACATATTAAACATTATATTAGTCTGATTAACTAGTATAAGTTTGAAGGGGAGTGTTAATATTTATTTCAGATAAATGTATTATATGTTTCAAATTATACAAATGTTTTACAAATATACACTATTGTTAAAACATGTCTTTCAAGACATACATCTAAGACATTCAATAGTACATAGTATATAATACTTTAATCTATAAACAATAAAGCTTATACAGACATACAATCAAACTATACAGTTAACTTGTATTAACACTTACACACTATAAGTAGAGTCTACTAAACCCTTACTAGTATAACTTACTCTTAGTATTATCCTGAGTAGTATACAAACTTACAAAGAATATTTCCTATTGTTTAGGGATATTTGTGACCTTAACATGCTAACACTATAAAATATGTTCTTTAAATGAATATACTTCTTAATAGAGATATTTACTAGTATCTTACTTTAAATAGTGTATAGTATCTTTCTCTGAAAATTTAGTAGCTTTCTTAAGACAATCAAATAAAGACCTTCCAGATTCATATTTGAGGGCAATGACCTAATAAGTATTATTCTCAAATGTACTGTAACAGTTTATGTATAGTATAATCAGACCCTAGATAAGTGTGTTTTAATAAAGTGTTGTTTCAGAAGGTATACTACATATTCATTTTGAAACTGTAGTAACATTTGTACCTTGTTTATTATGTGTCTCTTATTTTTACAGTCTGTTTCTTCATCTTTGCTACTTTTCTTTTTTACTGTTCTAGTAGTATACTCTATTGTCTTACCTTTTTTAATATTATTACATTCTATAAGTTATATTCAAAAATGTGTGTAAATTCATATTATCCTTTACAAAATAAAATACTATAGTTTCTGAACACACTAGTACAGAACCAAAGTTTCCCTTCCCCAGCTACTTTATTACACTAAACTGCTGTGGCTTCTACCTTCCTTTTTTGTCTTTGGCCCACATCCATTTGCTGCCAAACTTTGGAAGGTGTATGTCCTTCCAAAAAAGAGGTTTAAGGCCAGTCAACTCTGTATGTGTTTGCATAAATGCTGTTGTTATTATTTGCATTGATAAGGGTTATACTGTAAACTGAATTAATAAGTATATAATACTTACTCATACAAGTAAAGTAAAAACAATGTTTCTCACAATACAATGTGACAGCTGATAATAAAGTGTCTTAAATGCATATTTGACTGACTAGAACTTGTCTCAATGTATTTGGAACGGTTCATCCCATTAATGTTATGTTTGAATTAATTTTCTAAGCCTATCCCACACCCAGACAGTAGTTGTAGGTGCTAAGAAGCTTTACACAGAAGGGGATTGGTGACGCGTAAAAATACTAATGCATATGGTTAGCAAGTTTGTGTTAGTGATTGTGAACGCCACTAGCTGCTCAGTGGTTACCAATATCTCGAGATCGAAAAATGCGTGTGCAAAACAAAGCAAACGTGAGTAACACTCAGACGTGTAATAGAGCTGGAGTGTCGTGCATTTGAGAGATACCTGATATGGCGATCGTTGTCTTCTTGAATCGTTGCCATGTGCTGACGTAATCCAGCGTGGAAAGACGATGCTCAAGGCTCAGACTCGTCTCTGCGCCTCGTCTCCCGTCTCTTGTCCCCTCCCGCCTTCGCCTCCTTCCTCCTTCTCCTCCCTTTCCCCCTTTCCCGCCTTTCCTCTTTGTCCCCATTCACTCAGTAAGATACACGGATGCTATGCGTCCAAAACTTTCTCACGGCCGCTCGCGATCTCTCTCAGACCCTCTTGCTAGAGCGCTCTTGCCACCAGAGGACGAATCTCCGACTGAACGAGACTCACGATTGGAACGAGAGGAGCGGGCTCGACGTGTCAACGATGCCATTGACGAGCAGATCCGCCGGGACAAGGCCGAGCTCAAGCGCCAGAAGAACATGATAAAAGTCCTTCTGCTTGGCCAGAGCGAATCAGGCAAGAGCACTACTCTCAAACGTCCGTTCTGTTCCAGTCTGCTGTATCTACTCGTGGTCACCAAGGCTCACATTTCTCTTAGAATTTCAACTGCTGCATACTCCAGCCGCTTTTCATCAGGAGCGGATCGCCTGGCGCGCCGTCATCTACCTTAACCTCATCCGCTCCGTTCGCCGCATCCTCGATGCACTCGTCCCTCCGGACTCTGTTCCCCCATATTACCCTGATATGCCCGTCCATGACAGTGACGATATCGATTCTTTCCTCCATATCGATGGCCCGTCCATGTCTACTTCACGATTACCCAAGTTTGAGCGTTACATCAAGCGTCTCTCACCCCTCCTCATCCTTGAACAACGGCTCATCCGACAATTAGCATTTCCTGACGAAGAGGATGATCCCGATCCAGCTGAAATTTCTCCGACGTCCTCCCTTCCCCCTCACATAGGAATCCCCATCCCAGCGTCGCAGACTAAAGGTGGCGAACTGGCCCTGAGGCCAACCTCGAACTGGAAGAAGTCCTTTTCATTTTTATCTGGAAACGAAAGCAAAAGCGCACATACTGGTGAGCTGCGCGGCTGGTGGGAGGACCCTCGTGATCCTGTGCATGTTCTGCATGCCTGTGCGTCTGGGGAATACGGCATGCGCGCTCTCTGGAGAGACTCTGATGTCCGTGGTACTCTGGCCCGACGCCGTGTGCGCATGGAGGAAAGTGCCGGCTTCTACCTAAATGACATTGATCGTATCACCGCACTACGCTACATTCCAACCGACGACGATGTCCTGCGTGCACGTCTCAAGACCCTCGGGGTTGTGGAACACTCATTTATGGTTAAGGGTGGTGGCGCCCATAGCAACACTAGTGTCGAATGGCGCATTTACGACGTGGGCGGAGCTCGACAACAAAGGCAAGCATGGGCACCGTTCTTCCAGGACGTCAATGCAATTATTTTCCTTGCGCCGATTTCTGCATTCGACCAGACTCTCGCCGAGGATCCTCGTGTGAATAGGCTAGAAGACTCGATGCTCCTTTGGCGCTCTGTCATCTCCAACAAGCTTCTCAAAGACACGAACATCGTTCTGTTTCTGAATAAGTGCGATCTACTTAAGGCGAAGCTCGATGCCGGTGTTTCATTAGCGTATCACATGCCGAGCTACCGTGATCGTCCGAATGACTATGAGTCTGTTTCCAAATGTCGGTTGTTTCTTGACGCTGCTTATCAATGGCGGGCTGAGCATCCCTTCAGATTTCAGGAACAAGTTTGCCGCTCTCCATTATTCGCACTCGCCTAACCAGCAACGCGAGCTTTACAGTCAGTACTAGTTATATTCACTTTCTACTTAATAATGCTCACTATCCATATAGTCCACCTTACTTCCGTCACTGACAAGCTCAAAACTTCAATCATCATAGCCAGTGGTAAGTCGCCTTTAACCGAGCGCATCCCGCATACGCCAAATCATTAGCTCATCAAACTCTAATATCCAGTGCGCGACCTAATCCTTAAACAAAATTTACAATATTCTCGACTTCTCTGAGCTTGCTTCGTGATAAATGGGTCGTATCTATCCCTCGTATCCGATCTTCTCGGCTCTTTGATCTTCCTATTTGTTTGTTCGACATCGCCTTCTCATAGACCACGCTGTAGCAGAAGCGCAAGCCTTCCGTTTATATCAAAACGTCCTTCCCTATCTTCTCTTTGCTTTCTACTTTCTCACTTTCTCACCGCTGAGCTTCCTAACTCCATCCCTCCGATCAGCATGTAGTGTTTCATCTTACAACCTTGCACCACTGTATCCTCGTCAAGCATATATTCCAAAGTGTCGAAGGCATTCGACATTCTGCATCTGTACCTGTAAAAGTTCCCTTACTGTCATCCATCTTCTGTTTTAGTTACATCTTCGTTGTTATCACGTGTCTTCCCGTCTTCCTCTGTCTTCTCTTGATTTTGCTCTCTAGTTATCAACACCTTTCTGCATTACATGTCTTGCTTCTTTTCTACCCAGGTTATGCTTGCTCTGTCTTGCAATCTTCTTGCTGTCGCTTGCTTGCCTCATCTCCTCATCTCGTACGTCACCATTTTGATACGCTGCTCCTGATCCATTTCATTGCCTTCGTCATTGATCGTACACGTATCTTATGTTGCTCTTTAGTTGTCTCAATGGAAGGATGATTAATGAAACCTCTCTCGCTTCTCATTACTACACCATCGGTTGCATCTTATCAGTATCGTAAGAAGTACATCGTATTGATAAATGTGATCTGTTTATGCCTTCACGGCGCGATCCTGTGCAACCCCGGTAACTGCATGCGTGCATAGATTAAAAGCATCTACCTCATGAGGACTATTTAAGCAAGATCATTTACATTCGTGCCCATACGCTTTACGGTAAAGCGTCTGTCGCTATTCTCAACAACTGTAACCTACATCAAGCAATCATGTAGAAACGGTTACGTGTATCAAGAAATGCCAAGTAACGGTGCCGGTGACAAACAGATAGTTGTGCTAAATCAGAGATTATTGATTTATGCTATGCTTCCGCTGACAGTTGCTTTCTAGTATCATCCCTTTTACTACGTGTCTAAGCCGACAAGCACTATTCCATTGAAGAAAAAAATGTCTTATTATAGGAAGCCAGCCCGAATGATGATTTACATGAAAAAAAATCAACTTAATTATAAGTTATACTCTCCTCCTTCCATGTTTTGACTCACGACGCGATTCACTCTCGTGTTCTGATTTCTCCGATGATGTTCTTGACTTGCGGCTTCGAAAACTCTCACGATGTTTGGTAATAAACTTGCCAAACCACACTTTATCTTTTCCATCCTCTGATTTATTTTTAGAAGGCAAGTCTGGTTCGTTTGAGACAGTATTAACATTGGTGGACTGAGTTGTGTGTGTTTTCCCATCTGGGATCGCTTGTTCCAGCCACTTCGATTATTTAAACAATATATACTATTTATGTAATTTGTTCAGGCTTATAATGTAGGTAAATGCGTACCTGATGATGCAATGCCTGTTCTGCAGACATTCTTTGATCCGGATTAACCTCCAGACAACGTCGAAGAAAATCAATCCCTAATATTATTCAATTATTGTGTCTAAGTATATTTATCTCTTCTCTTAAGTAATGCATACATACCAAGATCAGATACATAGCCAGAGCAATATTTCTCGAGTACACTCTCAACTCTCTCATTTGTCAAAGTCCTTCCAATAGCTTTTCCTGCTCTATCCTTCTTCTCATTATATGTAATACTGTAAAGATCTACAATATGACGGTAGATATCCGTTCCTAGTAGAAATTTATATGTAATATTGCTGCAGATACAATGTTAGCATTTATTTAGCAGCACAGGAACGAAGTTCATTAATAGACATACCCTACAGACCACATATCCGCCTTTGTTGTAAGCACTCTATTGAATCGTTCCGGAGCTATATATCCTTTCGTCCCTTCGAGTTTCTCTTCTGTTTCTGATGCCTTGTCAAGTTTAATTGCACTAATAAAATCAAGTCAAGCTCTGCCACTATAATTTGTTTTAATTAACTCACAGTCCAAAGTCACCTACGACCAATATCTCTTTTCTTTCCAAGCCTGCTTGAGGAGCACCACTTTGTTTCTGAAATCTAATAAATAAATTATTTGGCCTTACAAGTAGAGTTTAATTTAAGAAGGTTTTTAGGCACAGAAGAATGCATACTTTAGATCGCGATGTACAACTCTTTTTTTACACATGTGAACTAACGCATTTAGGAGCTGTCTAATAAATTATATTAATGGTATGTAGGATTTTTAGGTTAAAGCTCGGACATCACCTAATATAATGTTTAGTTTCCTTTCCCAAAAAGCATTGTTGCTCACTGAGTCGATAGGATAAGTCGTCGCCTTCAGCAACGTCCAATATAATAACTAAGTTGAACTCATTTTCAAATGCACCGTAGCATTTGAGCTACACAAATCGTTTCGTCAAGCTTTCATATACTGGGAAGATAGTCTAAAATACATACAATGTGTGGATGACTGAGCTCTCTCATGATTCCAGCTTCGTGCCTGACTGCCTCAACCAACTTCTTGTTAGCAGTACCAGTGTAATCCTCAGATCTTCGTGGTCTTGGGATGATCTTTACTGCAAAGTGTGTAGGTTGACCATCCTTATTCTTAATGTCAGGCCTCTCAATTTCCTATATTAAGTAATGAGAATCAATAAATTAGGCCAGAATAAGTTTATAATCATAAGTGTATATATAAATAAATTCACCATTGTGCCACTATGCGCCCCACTACCAAGAAAGCGCTTTAAGATAAAGTGTTGTATCTTATCAGTCCAACCAGGCTCTGGAGTGTCTCCTTCATACAGCTCCAAACGTTCCAGATTGGTCAATGTATCACCTGGCATGTCCAATTAAGTCCTCTGTAGAGATAGCACAAAGGATGCTCAATCTTATTAGCAACAGTATCACTATATGCTTTGCTTTGTGTATAAGCTATTGCAAAGGTAAAATACCCATTTAAAGATACAACTGAGCAAAGGAACGTGTATAGAAAAGGCCATGATTAATAGGCTTTGCTGGAGTCCACATTCAGAACATAATTTACTTGGCACAAATGACTTAGGTGCAACCAAATTGCAGACTCTAGAACTCATGTAATACAGAGTTGCATTGGCGAGTTAGGTTTATATAGATCACATAATGTAATTTACTTGTCAATTTTTTTAGTCTGTAGTCCATTTTGTAATAGCTGACTTCCTTTTTACTTTACCATTTGCGTTCTCAAGCAAGTTTACTATCCTATTGCATATATTAAATCATTTACTCGATCTGTCGTCCGTCGACATTAATTTGTCCAGTGAGATAGTGACTCCGATCAAGTACGTTGCCATTAACACTCTACAGATCAGGCGTGTCACGTCTCATCAGAAACTGATCTCCACAGCCTTCATACAATTCAAGTGAATTTCTATTGTGGCTGTCAGCACCTCGACTGAAGATCAGGCGACCGAGGCAAGTTGCATAGTTACTGTGAACATAAAGGTCAATCTTGCAGTAACCACTGCTACAAATTTGGAACGATTCGGCTCCAGATTTCACCGGAAATTATAGTATATAAGCTATAACCATTATACCTGCGATTGCCTAATTTCTTTCGCAACACCATCGTTTTCCCTCATGACTACCCTGTCGAATTTGTTTTCCTCGTTAATTCATGTCAATGTTGTTCGATATTTAACTAGTAGGCTCCCCTCTTCAAATAACTTCAATCTCATCGTCTTATGGACAATTGATTAGTTTCAGGCGTATCTGTCCTTGCATACGACACATTGATCACGTTTGAAGACGAAGTTCAATACGTGTGGGCTCCTCTTATCCAGTACACTTCAGAATTGTTGTTCAGACATGAGAGATATACGCAATGTCGAATGGCCTCTATTTTGCAAAAGCTTCTTATAATATTCGTCCGATATACTATGCTGGTCATAGCTTCTATCTTTTTGTTTGGTAAGATACTTTAACTCATTACTCAGTGCTCTTGAGCACTGAAAGCCAGACAAATTTATGTTGTAAAGCTATAATGCCATTAGGCAGTGTCAGCACAGCTTGGGTAGGTTCTGTCCTTTCTGTCTTTTGACTTGGACTTACTATACATTCTAGTAGTTAGCTCAAGCTCGTGGAACATTATTTAAGTCAACTGAGTCAATTTTCAGGTGTCAGAGCGTCTATTCAGCGATAATGAGTTTTGATGTTTTCATTGAACTGATGGGCTCAGGTTTGTAGCATGATGATCTGCTCAATTTACGCTTGAATAACCATTCTTCTTCCAGCTGTTGTCCTTTATCGTCTTTTCTTGCTTTGGGATCTTGATCGACGCACTATCCAAATTATAACTGGAGGACTCATAATCATACACCTTGTTTCTCTCTTTTCTGCGTTTGCAGCTATTGCACGAGCAAGAGGTGGGGTTTCAATGTAAGACATAGTGTAAAAAGCTAATTCTGTATGCTAGACCATGTTTTATTTTTGAAGATTTTAAGTCTTCGCATATGCTTCCAGGCAGAGACCCAGAGGATTACTCTAATTGCATTAATAATAGTGGTGAGTCTGAAGTTCTAGATTCAAAACTTAATGGATAAATATCTTCAAATTCGGCACAGTTTATTTTGGACTTCACCTCACTTTTCCTTCTTGTTCTCAATGCACTTTCGCGTCCTCGACTAGAGAGTCAGCGACTATTTGGAATCTTATACAATGACGGGCTGTTTTTCTTCCTGGTAAGTTTTCCCTTTTACAGTATTGGAACGAAGGAATTAATAATACAATATCCAAGACTATACTCTGTAAGAAATCATCAATTCCAAGTAAAGCATCCTGTTTGACAGTCTTTTCCACATTGCCAGTAATGAGGCTGTTAAACATTACAATCATGTCTTTTACTCAAGTCGGTTGTTTAAAGCATATTTACATTGAAAGAAAGCTGATAGCAAACCTTCAGGCGGATCTTTTCTTCATTGCGATAATGTGAGTGTATCTAATTTTCTTCACATGGATAATCTGGATTCATGTCTCTTAAGATTTTCTGGTACCATGGTGACGACTGTTACTTGCCAATCCCTTTTGAGCCTTGTACGTCGAAACGATAATAAGGATGATCCTTACAATGATTATGAAGACGATGGGCTGAAGGCAGATAATCAATGGAAACAAGATACTAAGATGATGGTTCTAGTAAATCGAAGGAGTGGCAGTTGTGATGATTCGCTTGAAAGCGCCTGGTTTGGGCCATGGTAATGTATGGTGGAAGTATTTTCATCGTTGATTAGAACGTTCTCCTACAATACCAGTATCCTCTTGTAACAATATGCGAAATAAGGATGCTCTCAACTTCTATCACACGTATGTATAGAATGCCAATTCATATATTTTTGGACGAACAAGCTCATAGCTACCATGTACAAGAAAGTTTTAGAAGACCCTTGGTGTTAAGCATTTCCACTTGTTATGACGGGAAACTTGAAAAGCTGAAGGAACGCTTGCAAGGCAGCTGTTGTTACAATTGTACCTGAGAATCTAAGCCCAGTGTGAAGCATATTGATAAAATTGAATTATAGGAAAAGAGGGGGGGGAGAGCAGTACGTACACTACACCCATATAGAACAGAGGGGGCTATCAATGACAGAGAGACTCGTCAATTGGAAAGGAAAAGAAAATGACAATCAATGGTGTACATCTTTTGCAATGATCACAAGGATCATGTTGAGAATTCGCGTGCCTAGCAATACAATCGGATAGTTGAGCGTATGGACAATGTTGTAATCAGCAAAATTGTTCACTGAAGTTAGTCTGTTTTCAATATTGTTAATTAGCTGGGACGCTTCGCAACCAAGACACAGACGTACAAGGAAGAACATGATACCATCACTGTATAGAATTCTCATGAGATGCACACGCTCCAAGCGCAGGCAAGATAACGCATTTAATAATAAAAGGAAGAAAGCAAACGTGTCAAATAAGACCTACCTATAGAATAAGCACAGCTCTTTCATAATCTGGCATAGAAAGTCAACTTACCCCAGGAATCCAGGAAGCAAGAAATAAGATCGGCATCCCTAACGTATTACACGTTTTAATATTTCCAGAGCCTTCAAATACAATAGTATCTAAAGGCAGTATTAGCCTAAGTCGGATACGTGGATGTTAGACACTCACCTGCAATCTGCACAGTATGTGCATATGTGATTGCAACAATAAAAGTATATGTGACAATGAAGGAGATCAGAAGCAGGCGTGTTCCAAGTATATTGAAATTCCACAGTAAACTCAGTTTATAGAGCACGACACCTCGAGGTCTGTGAGTTATTCAACATAATGAGTAGTTAGTAAACAAAGTCATACCCGATCCAACCGTTTCAAGTAAGACATCTACTCTACCAACAGTCGAGAGCAGTGTTTGACACCTGTGAACCAGTTGTTACATGCATTGAATTATTAATGAGCCGAACTAATGAAAATGCATACTAATTGTGATAAATGTAAGTATCTGTCCCAGTACTACATATAGTAATCATACTGGCTTACCCACAAATTAGACATTGTACGTGTTGGTATCATGGCTATTTTAGTGTCAGCTATATAATTGGCTGGTTTCAAGCAAAACTTACAGACTAAGCACATGATAGCAATGGCAATCATGGAGTATCTATTCAGAAGGTAGAGAACCCTTGGTATATTTGATTTCCATGTGGAGCCTCTCTGGTGAGTGTAAACCAGAGGGAGCCAAACGAAGCGTATTTCTTCCGGAAGAGTTAGCAGGGTATCGTATACAAGTACGCTAGTACCAGCCACTGTCAAATTAAAACACGGTCAGCAGTAAATGACACTGTATAACTCGTGAGTCAGGTAACTCACCCGTGATGTATCGGAACACATAGAGATGTATAGTTTCTGCTACTACAACCTGAAGAAGACCCATACCGATGACTATCTCTGTGCAAACGGGGGCACTTTGTAAAGGGTCTTCATGGCCTTTAGGGTATAATATAGGCGTAGTAACTTGAAAAAGCTCGCCGATCGATCTTGATCGGCATCGGAAGCATCTTGCCCTTCCCATCAATATTCTAGGATCTTCTGAGGGCACCACTGTCTGATCATGAGCAGACCCTCTTTATTCAGGCCGAAATGAAACAACTATAAATATCAACACCTCCATTATGTGTGTCAGGTCTATCAGGTATTAGGAGTAGCAACACATGTCTGTGAATTTGCATAGTGCAAAGCAAAGAGACCTCAAGCACTGGGTCTCATTCCTTCACAAGGTCGAGAAACCGGAAACATTGTTAGTCCGAACACGTTCCACTCCATAGGAATATAATGTTGATCAATTGTTTGCAATCATCAACAGTGCAACACTCAAATCTTTTGCCCTTACAGAACTGTGATAATCATTAATCCCTGTGAGGCCCTATCTGATCTATTAAGTGCATTACAAGTGTACAATCAAAGGCATAGATACAAATAGGCACGGTGGCAATGCTCGGTGAGATATGGGCAAGCTCGTTCCAAGAAAAGATCTGTCCGATCAAGCTCTTTATCGGGTCTGCTGATTGGTTCCGGAAGCATGCTGAGTAGCAACTACTGAAGTCGACGAGCAGGTTGCTACGTGCACGCTTGCACTTCTATTCAATGCTGCATTTAATCAAGCAAAAGTCTTAAGTAATTCCAATTGTAAAGTTGACCTCTAGTGAGCAACGTACATCTTTATCATCTGATCCTGTAAGGAACTGGAGTAACAAGAGACGATGAGGTGATCGCACAATCTTACGATCATAACAGATAGAGAAGAGTAAGGGAGTAGCTTTCTATGATTATCTTTGATGCTGATTCGCAAAAAAGGGCAGTTGATCCAAAATCTAGGCTCGGAGCTGGCATATATTAATAAAAGAATAAAAAATGACAAGGTACCGCATAGCAACAGATAATCTACTGAACCGGTATAAGCTAAGTATCAATTATATTAAAACAGTGAATACAACTCATGGTGTCATGACTTCTCTCTGTCGGATCCTGAAGCATAACCAGGAGAACTAGCACGTCCTTTCCCTTTATCAATCTCACGGGATTCACTAAAAAACCTCCGTCGGGAATTAGGAGAAGCAAGGTCAGGCCACCCAGCTCTCTGCTCCTGTACGTTTCGTCTGCGCTCTCCTCCCAAGTCCACCTCCTTCTCTGCGCTTGAAATGACGTCTTCATTCTCGTCTTCAAGGGCATCAAACAAGATTGTGCCACGTTTAGTGGACTTTCGGAAGGTTGAAAGCGCTTCGGTGGCAGACAATAAGCGACGCAGCATCTGCCCCTGAGTGTCGAGTGCACCCTGCAAGTCCACGATCTGGCGTGCAAGCGCTGCTATAGAAGGGTCATCCTATGTGCACAAGCGTAAATCTACATAAACAGAAAAATATGTCCGATAATCTGCTCACCAGGTCCACACTCGCTAAGTCCGGTCCATGTCCATTCATCCTCGCATTTTCTCTGGCATGTGCATCCCAGAGTGCGCTGAACTCGCGACCAAGCACAAAAGAGGGAAGTGCAATGAGCAAGAGACCAAATACTAACAGCGGAACGGTCAAGAGACGTCCAAGGAAGGAACGAGGAGTAAGGTCTCCGTATCCAACCGTCGCGATTGCTGTTAAAACCAGACGAAATTACGAATAATGAATCGGCGTCCCGTATAAATTCAATCCGGAAAACGTACTAACGAGGACAAACCTGTTGCAGAATGAGGAAAAATGAGTAGATGTAGAACGAAATGCAGATACAACCTCACCATCCAGCCGCTGGAATCGACTATGTCCATTTGGAGTTGGGCATCAGCGCGTTCATAAGGGAGGTCAATAATATTTTCAAGGTTACAATTGAATAAAATAATCGATGATGTATGAGTAAAGGACAAAGGTGAAAGCTGGAGAAATCGAACTTACAGAGAACTGGCTTGGTTCACCGTCTGCATCTATAAATGTTTGAAGGATCGGATCCCATGTGCCTCTCTCTATGAAGTATCTAAGAATAGAGGAAAAGATACGAGTAGAACGTTTGAGCGTGAACAGGACGTCAGACACGAAACAATAAATCAAAGGGCTCACAATATAGTGCTAAAAATGACCAAGAACATGAGAAGAAAGAATCCGAGCGCAAGGAGGGCGTGTTGAGAGTGCCGGACAGAAAGGTACATAACCTCTATCGTTCTGAATGAGATTAATATATTAGTCAGGAGTAAAGGTATTTAAAAATTTAGCTCGCAGATGGACGCACAATGTGATTGTATTATTAGTTCGGAAGGCCCGGAAAACTCGAAGGAGACGGAAAGTACGAAGTATGGAGAAGCGGAACATAACAGAGGTGTCGACACCAAGGAAGAGCTCGACATAATATGGTGCAATGGCAAGGAAATCGACTATCCCGAAGAAAGCTAGACAGATTGTGCGTTTAGCTTGCAGCAACGATCACTATTTGCAAAGCTCACAGAGTGCCCATCTCCAAAATATGCTCCAGCTGACACTCCAAGCGAGCGCTCTTGCAATATATTCAACAGTAAATAGCACAACTAGCGAGCTTTCAATCCCTTCAAAGGTCTTTAGCCCGAAATCGTTGGGCAGACGGAAATAAGGACAGACCAAACCAGACACTAGGACTCGTGGCACGAAATGTCGGAATGGTCTCACATACGGTGACCAGAGCACTAAACACGATTAACGAGGTGGATACCACGTGCACTAGGAAAGAACCGGGTGAAGCCGATGGGTGCTCGAGCAGTTCTATATCAGGCATCAGACATGCTTGCAATGCAATGATGATGATGTGCCCAGTGCTTCGTACCATGCAGAGAACGTTTCCATGGCGGGTGGATGGAAGAGAGCTCAGGAGCGTTGAATGCTGCTGTGCCATCGTACGGAAGTCCAAATGACTGAAGTTCATATTGCTCGCCAATGCCACCGTTTCTGTGGGAGAGGGGACGCGAAGAAGGAGAAGGGAACATGAGAGAAGCATGGCACAGTATAGTGCGAGCAGTCGCGGCAGATCAAGCTTCGGCATCTTCCGAAAACTCCGCTGATCTCTGTTTTTCTCTCTTTGATCTTCTTTCGACCATCTCGGCGTTCAACTTCTTAACCTTACTTTTTTATACAGACCACAATATCAGCGAAGATGGTACAATCGTGCGGGTCTCACTTAGAGCACCCACTGGGATCGTAGAAATCGTGCAAAGCGGCTTGCTTATGACGCCGTCCTGCGTATCGGTCTCATCAGCGTGACAAATCTTCCAGCCGTGGGCCTTTCAGCGTCTATTATTATCATTATGCTATACAGGTGGAAAGATGAGTTATCCTACTCTACTCTGAAGTCCTACTCTGTTTTCGTGCACTCACGTGTACCCCAGTCACCCTAAGGTGATGCCGGCATTCCTAATACAGATAGCCCAATGGACCAAAACGGACGTAACCAACTGCCCGATGACATTTAAATACTTATGTGGAAGAGGATGATTAGAAGAACATTCGTCACTGTGGGTATAAAGTTGCACTTCACAGTGGAGAAACTTTAGAAGCACAAAGGTGTGTACATAGCAGCTTACTCAGAAGACTGCTCTCGTGCTAAGTATTGTCGGACTAAGCGATGCATCTTTGCCTGTGAATCCGACCCACTTTATCGGATTAGGGAAAGAATAAGTATGATTGTGTACTTTGTCACAGAAATTAATGGCCAACTTCGGATTTCCTTGTTGTTTCGGAGAAAGAAAGGAACAGCAGACTGACTATATGCTTTTCGGGGAAATTTTGATCGGCCTCTTCAATAAAAATATATCATGCCCAATGCACTCATACATCAGCTATTCTCGACTTGCAATAAATCACGACAGGGACTACTTGCATGTGGTTAGAAGCAGATACGCATCAAGTGCATTTCCAATGAGCGACTAGAAGGACCTTGTTTTACGAGATTTGGAGTAGGTGTTGCTGCGTTATCAAGCTAACTATGTCTCGGTAGGTACAACCCTAGCTTTTACATCCATCGTCCGCATGAATTGCGGTAGTATGTAGGTTTACGCCCTCTTTCTGCGCATACTGTACTGCTCAGGAAAGTTCACTCAATTAAAATGGCTGATACCTCTATCGAACCTAGCAATCGACACTGACCGTCAAGAATATATTCGCTATCCGATCTCCCTAATATGCCTCCCAATCTCAATGTAGATCACATAGAATATTTCAGCAATGATAACCTATGGCCACTTAAGAGGATCCTGGCTTAGATATCCAATGGCACGGGCAGAAACGTACTTAAGTGTTTGCCAATCGATGCACCTCGATCTAGCCACCGCCCTGTCGAGTGTCGATTACTTGGCGTATGAAATACCTCATATATCTTACATACAAAACTTCCTCCAACGTGTCGGATGGACTGCGGTTATAATTCGATGAAGCTTGGAAGGACAAGCCGCAACAAACTCTGCAGAGCACATGACGAATCCGATTGAACCTGGAAGTTCGTTTGTGGATGTATCGTAGCTCAGGAGAACCCCTTTGTGAGAGAGTTCAGCGCCCAGTACAGAACCTTTAATTCCTTCATTCGCCAGAAGTCTCCGCATCAAATGTGTTAACCGAGAGACCAGTAGGTGTGCGCCACACATTGACGACTTCCACTTCTACACACCTGCTCCTCGCTTCCTGGGCATCTGCGTGCAAAAGGCCTGGGTCAAGGACATATCGTAAGTGTACACATGCGTACATATGCGGGCCGCGAGCTAGGGTGGAAGAGTGCGTGTATGGGTTGTAATATAGAAGCAGAAATACGTATCTGATTCCCTCTGCCTGTCGGCGTCAAGTTTCCTACCAACTGGCTGGACGACTAGACTTTGGAAGTTGTAAAATTACACAGAAATCATGGAGAACGACCACTGCATTCAAGGTACATAAACTGTATCTGTCGGCTTTGTTCATGTTATATTCTTCTACTATACAATGCATGTAATTTTATGTTTATGTACAATACAAGAAATTTTTAATTTACAACAGACGAACGATCGACTTAATAGCAATGCAAATTCTTCACGGCGCGGAGCAATGTTTGACTCAAAAAAACACAAGCTTTGTACATGCAAGCCTGGAACAAGGTAAGTATGCAATAGATGGTGTTTTTTTGAGTCACCATCGCCCCGTGCAGAGATTTTTTGCATTACTTCTAAGAAACGGTCCAACAGGCAAAATAAAAATAAAAAACATCTAATATTTAAATTTCAGGATCTTTCGAACATACCGGTATGCTAAATAGTAAACTTACAATAATACCTGGCAGAAGAAGTACCTCTGCTACTACTAGCGGTGAATATAATCGAGTCTAACAGCGACAGTAAATGAGAACAGGTGATAAAAGCCTAGTATACACCACCTTTCATGAAGAGCAGAATACACGACCCGTTGCAGATATTGTGGAACACACGAGTAAGGGATCTCATACTAGGATATAGAGACTGGGGAAGGCGGTGAGAATGGCAATCGTATTGACACGTACATCGAACAATGTTTGACCGCTCACAGCAGACAGCTGCATGAAGCGCTCGCTGAAGGATGCCTCAGATGCATAACTTGGCTGTGATGAGTCTGCATTGCTCAGATGTGTGATATGGCAATTTACCAGACACATTTTATGGGGTCAAATGGTTTGTGAAGAGGAGAGGAAAGAGGAGAGAGGGGGCTGCTCTGGTTTAAGCTCCGCAGGGCAGGCCCCCGCGTTAAAAGCAAAACCCGAGCAGTTGGAGGATTCGCGTCTCGGATATTCCTTAAGATGGGCGACTGGGAACCAGCGATAAGCTCGAAGCATCGGATTTTACACGGTCCAAAGTTAGACTTCCAGTGCAACAGCACGACGGAGAGGTGAGCAAGAATCACTAGAAGGATCATGTGGTGTCCGAGAATCATCACACGCCGTGTCAGCTAGGCAGATGGAATGCAAAGTAGATGCCGAAACAGTATCATTTATAGCAGAGTCATTTAACAGAAATTTGCAGTAATACAAATAATAGGAGCCAATATGCTAATTAAGGTTAAACAGACAGAGCATGGATGCATTCCCTACCATGTTTCTGGTGCAATGACCATTATTGTTAAATGCTATCAGGGCCACCCGGTTCAATAGGGATCCGAGCGTACCGTATACGGGTACGACCGTACTCTGTACAGGTCTGTACGGGGTACGGTCGTAAAAATACGACCGTTTTTTGAGTTCTAGGACACAAGTACGGCTACGGTGTGTACCGTATACAGCCGTATACGGTAATACGCTTGTAAATACAAATTTAATATTATATTAATAGAAAGAAATAATTAATATACTTTAAAATCGTTAAAAAGGCCTATTATTACTTTATATGTATGTCCCTATCAAATTAGCACTTGTTATGCCCATTTTCATCAACATATTCAGTAAATCTGAAATATAATTTGTATGAAGTAATAAAAGATAGTCACATGACTAACTATTTTGAGAAGATAAATAATATAATATTAATACATTGACCCCAAGATTAGCTAAATTTGGTGTTTTTATGTATAAAAGGTATATTATAAGGTATACAAAGAGAAGAAATAGTTATAAATTGTGCTACACATGTTATTAATACTGAAAATCTTCTTTGGATGTCCGTACTCTGTATACGGCTGTATACGGCCGTATTTGGCCTAATAGGATACGGGATACGGCCCGTTTTATACGAGCTGTATTTGGTGTCTCAAAGTCCGGTACGAGTACAGATCGTACCGTGACCGAAACGGGTCGTAACCGTACTGTACGGTACGATTCGGATCCCTACGGTTCAATACGAAGCGGTATCTCACTCACAGTGAGTAATACAGTATAGCTAAAAAACTTAATCGAAAGTTTTAAATTATTATCAAAGAAAGCGAGATACAATATAGCGAAGCTTTCTCCCATGCTACGCTGAAGTTGGGCTGGAATACTTCAAAAGACAAGTACTCAGCGCCACCCCTCCAATGAGTCCTTTGGGGACGCGAGTTCTAAGAAGCACATGGGTGTGTGTGATTGTTCGTGTGTGGCGAACACGAGGCGAAGACGCCCGATTCTCGGCACAATCAGAACAAATCTTCTCAGCGCCAGCTGCCTTAGACAAGTGATTCTCATTCGCGGAACTTTCGCTGCACCGAAAACCAGGCGATGGCTATCGGATTTTAGAACTGATTACTGGCGATATCGGACTACAATAGAAACGGCAATGTCCGTTTATTCAATACGTAGAAAGGATATGACGTTGCAATTTGAATGAAGGCATTTCAATGCACAACTGAAAAATGGTATGTTGTGCTCCATTCAAAATCCTTTCCTGGTCCACCTTTGATCGCTATGTCAGTCGTTTTAAAAATAACCAACTATGGCGACGCACAGATCTGATTCACACCCCACACAGGATTATTAACGGCATCGACGATTCCTTCTTGTTCGATAGCGACGGCAGACCATTTCGTGTAGTTGAGTGTCGGGCCACCATGTACGACCTTCCGCGGAGTATTGAGCCAATACGCAGTGTAGACCTGTACAGCGGGCTGATTTGTTGTCATATCCACTCTAGCACCGAATGTATTTGCAAACTGCAGCAAGAGAGGGTAGGAAGACATACCGAATTCCCGATAGGTCGCTCCACAAAGAGACACCGGAGTTGGTCTGCTCTTCCTTGCTGTAGATCCAGCAGTTATCATACCCTTGACAACCTGTCACCGAAACTCACTTCAGTAAGGCTTTGACGCAGGGCAAATAAGCAACATTCCTGGACCGCAATAGTCGATTGTGTCCGCCCAACGAGAGCCAACTTGGCGAGCTTCCTGAAAATCGAAAGCTGTTCCGCCAACATTAATGAAGTCTCCTGTAGGTATCTGTATTGAGTCGGTGGCGAGGACTTTCCCACCATCTACACGAAGTGTATGGTTGAGAATATTTTCGCTTCCCTGCTGGAACGCATCCAGATTCCTAGGGAAAGGTCCGGAAAATGAGCATTCTCGACAACAAAGGGAATTTTCACGTACCAGTAGATATGTTGCGTCGTCATGATCGGGGTTAGTGCAGTAGCCGACGCATGCACGGTAGTCTTCAAAATGCCGCCGCGCTCGACGCTGTGTGTTGCCTACATGTTACTATGAGCATAACAAATATGCCGTAACGGCATACAAACATACGAAAACAGTGACATCGCCTGGGAATCCTTCATCCGCCGAATCGAAGTGCCGATAGGTCACACTCGACGCTGTCTTCTCGACAATTGTCCAGTTGCGGCGATCCCAACCATATATTCCGCCATGTAGAGTATCCAGACCTTCAAGGAATGGTGGTTAGCGCTACAGTCACCAAAAGATATAGATTAGACGTGCCATCATGGTCGTTCGTCGGTATATGGAATACATTTGGGCCATCTGGCTGAGGATTTCTCGTTATCGGAATGGAAAATGTGCCTAGTGAAGGTTGGTTCAGAACTCGGCATGTACAACAAGCTGCGCGGAGATACCATTCTTGATCCGATTCGCATATCTAGTGTGAAGTGTTCATTTAATAATGAACTCTAACACGTGAATTCCAACTCACCTTCCTACAATTGGATTGAAGACTGGATGTGCTGGATCCGTTAGAAGCTCGCTCTGTCATTCCATTTAATTATGAGATGCCAGAAATCGGATAGAGCCGTCTAGCCGCGTACGTTATCATCATAACCCAAGATGATGTCCCTAGCCTTTCCGAACTTGTCCTTGACCCACAATTCTGTCATGGTAGCTCCAAACGACACGAATTTAGCCGTGACAGAGTTGTCCGGCGCAGTGATTGTCGTAACATCGAATGGCTTTGATCAAGAGATAAGATCAAAACTCTATCTTTTGCTGAGAAAAAGCCTCCTACCCATTCGGCGGCAACTGCAGCAGTTGAAGCAAGCAAAAGACCAGAAAGTAAGATTTTAAACGGCCTTGCAATCATGGATTCGTCGACGCCAAGGGTATGGCAATAGCGATACGGAAGGGTTTATAAAGTCGTTTGGTTTGGACAACTCGGATCCGGAAGCCTTCACACGGGAGAAACATCGCAACAGCCCCGCCTCTCCTTGGCGGCTATCGTATTACCGTACTACGGGTGGCAACAAAATAGACACGGGAGGCACATCACCTGATGAAGAAATCATGATGGCTGTAGACGTCGCGCATTAGCGACACAGGAGACACAAGGTACCAATTGACCCCAGACTCACATTTAGTAATATGGTAGCCTAAATTTCACCGAATTTCAAGAAATCTCGGTGAAATGAGCGAACATGTAGCGCTGGCAGTCATTGTTCGCAAAGATACTCTCATAGCGGAGCACGAAATTGTTCGCGTACAGACACCGCATATTAGACTACAGCGTCTCAAATTCTGCCGGGCTCAAAGTTAGCACCTGTCAAAGCGTCATGGACTCATATCCGGCACACCTTAAGTAGACCGTTGCTTGCACACTGTCACAAAATGGGGTAGAAGTAAAATAATACGTGATACCCAGAACGTCTACATGAACCACCTTCCCTCATGAGATAGGACAGTCAGGCTTAATGTCAGGGTGAGTGAGAATATCGCATTTAACATTGACTCTACATTGAATACGTAACACCTTTCTAACAGCCTTTGAATTCCTTTTTCGATACAGGCAATAGTTGTAAGTCTTGTAAGCAGGTGTTGACAATGACTATGCAAGGTTATAACAGACAAGCCATCAGGTTTGATGCTCTGAATATAAGCTTCGTTATTATACAAGAGGTCAAACCTAAGTTAAACCAGTTCAGCAACGATGATAACGCAGGGTGAGGTGTTCCTTACATAGCAAATATACAGCATCATGGCTATACGTCTAATTACGCAGTACAACTTCATCCTAGTGGAATGAACAGACATCGCATCTATAGTGATAGACTGCAACGCATCAGTCCTGAAGTCAGAATAGCGACCAAACAATACAAACAACAATAATATCAGCTATCCATCATCACGACGTCCTCGTTCGTCCCATCTTGATCGCGTTCTTCGTGGTGGTAGTCCAAGTTAGTCGATCCGTCAATCGTAGCATCTTGCTCTTCTCCAGAAGCAAGGGCCTCCGCAGCACGCTTAAGGGTGCTAACACGTGCTCGGAGGACTCGTATAGCAGCAGGAAAGAGATCCCGAGGTGCATATGGACCTTCGGATTCGATGTTGACTAACAAAAGTGTTATAATTTAAACCGTATGAGAAATTGCGAAGAATGGCGATTGTGACGACTAACATAGGAACCAATCTCGCACTCGTCCAAGTTTGACACAACCCTCGAACTCGGAATGTCGAAAAACCTCACGACTCATGCTCTCTTCACGGACCCTTTTCTCGTCGACCTCTACAGCCTCACTTGCTACTCGTTCAAGAGAAGTAATCAGTGGCGCATTGTAGCGAGAGTATATGAACGTACCAGTTCCTTCGCCAATGACCTTGATGACGCCAGGTGAGAAACAGTCAGCAAACTTCCGCGCCGATCCGGAAGGAGGCTGCTTGAGAATTGTGATGTGCGGATGAATGCGATATGAGGCCGTAGCTAGCATGTTGTAAGGCAAAAGAAATCCGGTGACAGGGTCAAATAGACACACCCACTGGTGACCATTTAGCATGCTCTTTCCCAACATTCTTTATTGCGTGACATTCCATGTCGATTACTTGTCCAGGTCTTAGTTTTGCAAGGACGATGTTCGGGTTCGTTGGACCTGGCGGCTTTTCCTGAGAAGACATACGTAAGCAACCCAGGAATCGGGAGAAGCGGCACACACACCTTGAGCTGAGGTACGTCCGCTTGTTCACCTTGTGGTTCCCATCTTAGCATCCCGGCGGTGACCAAATGATTTTCGTAAAGATCGTCCGGATTAGCACTTTCTGCAGGTGCTCCCGCCTTCCGCTTGCACTCGACTTCAAGCTTGAACACGAGAGTACTTCGGTCGGTAGCATCTTTGCCTTCTTCCCGCATTTCAAATAGTCCAGGGTCAAGATTGAGTGGAACGAGACCAAGACGATGCGCAAGCACCTCGTCGTGGATGACACTGGTGTTATTCCAGACATACACCGATTCGATCGCAATAGTCGGCACTTCTGCAATAAGTGTACGCCGGATTGCATTTGCTATTGATGCATCAACACCAATAAGATCCAGGTCGACACTGCGTTGGGAAAGCCGGGTGACGTTCAGCTGAAGCGAGCGTTTAAAAGCAGATAGGTCCCAACTATTGTCCTCGCCCGGGTAGTGACCGTGAAAATCATTGCTGGAGACATTAGTGACGCGTTCTGCATGAACCCCGACCAGACGACGCTCGCTGATATTTAGCGGCGCCGTGGACGCGGTCGGCACTGGCATGACAATTGGCTTGAAATCAAGAAAAGAGCTTAGAGCTTAGAGCCAAAATTTAGCTTATATAATAAATTGATCGGCATGGTCAAGTAGTTACTAGTGGTCACTGACTCACTCTCTGTTCTGTGCAAACTACTTAGTCGGAAATCTATAGCTCCTAGGCCTATTTGCGTGCTCGATCATTTGGGAAGTCTGAACTCTTGCCATGATCCTACTTTGCATTCTCAGTTCTGAAGGGGAACACCAGCTGTGTCGAAGCTCGACCAAAAAGCTCATTACGTGACGAGTTCAATGTATCAACCAGTGCAAAGAGGTGGTGCGGCAGATTCGTGCAAAACGGCCACTACATAGTGAAGTAACCAGCTTTCGGCATCCCTCAGTACAAGCATTTCATATCGTTTGACGATGACAAGTACTGCCACTCAAAATAACTCCCAGCTCGTTGGCCTAGAGCCTCTCTTCCGGAATGATGCAAGTCCTCCTAAGTTTAGTGAAAAATGGATGTGGGCTAGGGACGCTAGCGGAGGGCAGAAGCCGCAGCAGTTCACCATAAAAAAGAGGTTGGGAAAGGGTAGTTTTGGAATTGTATCGGTGTGTTCAGTGGTCAACTTCCCTCGTAAATACGAATAACGACATACATTTGTGCCTTGTAAAGCTTATAGAACGTGATGACATTGTGCAGGGGAAGTCGCTACCGTATGCTGCTAAGGTGGCAACGAAGAACAGTGGTGAAGGAGAAGAGACAGACAGTAAAATAAAAGGGTGTGCGTGGAGTGAAGCATGCATTTTACCGCAACTAAATCACAAACATGTGGTATGTCTTTTCAGAGTTATACTCTCTCGCAGGAGGCATACTATTATCTGATCCGCAATAGATTAAGTGCTTCGGTGCATTCGAGAATGATACTTCCTGGATCATTGTCCTTGAATACATATCGGGAGGTAACCTATTCGAGCGCCTTGAGAGCGCATCTAAATTCTCGGAGAAACACGCTGCACATTACATTAAGTGAGGACTCTGCTAACGTCTCTATTTAAAAGTCTCTTCTGACTCATGCATAAGGCAAGCTCTTGATGCTGTGAAGTATATTCATTCAAAAGATATAATGCATAGAGATATAAAGTATGCCTGTTTTCAGACCTACTATGCAATTTAAGCCACCCTCTAATGCATCATCTTTACATCTTTAATAGAACGGAAAACTTCCTGATCAGAGTGAAACACAGCTCGCCTTCAGATGAGGAAATCGTCCTCAGCGATTTCGGATTGTAAGATACATTATTGTGCGTTAATGCTGAATTAACTAAATTGTTATTTCATCTAGTGCAAGTTCCAAAAATAAGGAGTATATTGGTTGTGGTTCACCTGTCTACACTGCCCCAGAAATTTTCAAGAAATTCGCAGATATGGTTGGATTCTATAAGAATGAAGTAGACATATGGTCCATCGGGTGAATATGATTCATTACTATTGGTTATTGATGTTTCTTCACCTTTGAATTCCCAGAGCAGTGACATTAGAACTATTAACTGTACAGTGTATCTATGACTTTGTTCCAGTTGCTAAGGCCGACGAAGTTTGGGAGGACCAAAAGGAAGGAAATGCAGGGCTTGTTATTACTAATGAGCATGTTAGGGAAGCATTCAAGCGCGCCTCGTCTCAGCACATATCTGAGGAGGGTAAGAATACGCTCTGTTCTCAGAATCATTATTCGTTACTTACAAGACATGGTACAATATTACCCAGCGAAAAAGTTCATGCATCGGTGCTTTGAAGTTGATCCTGCCAGGAGATATCCTGCACGTGTACTTATAAATGACGAAGTGAGTTATCATTCTGTAAAATGGGTATGCTGATTCCTAAATGCGTTATACAGTGGTTCCAAAAGGCCAAGGATATGGACAGTGAAGTAAGATTGGGCGACTGGAACAACAGATTGAGAAATCTCAAGGCAAGAGCTGATAGGAAAAGGCACAGGATGCTCTCCTCAGTAAGCAGGAATGTGAGAGCATCAATTCGGTCTTCAACTTTCCATGTTGCCAAAAGGGAATCCAAAGCAAGTAAGAGTAAGAGTAAGAGTGAAGTAAAGAAATAAAGAAGTTAGAGACTCAAAGATACTGATAGACAATTTCTGTATACTATATTAGGTCCTAGATTAAGAGATACTGACAATATATTCATGTGATCTATGGGCCCGGGCTATAAATGTAAAATGACAAGACACAGTGCAATATTTTGGGACACTTTCATCTGAGTCCCTGCTTTTATTTTACTGGATGTGACTGCAGGAGATGCAGATGAATCGGCAGGAAGAGGTATTTTATTCAAGTGCAAAGTAATTGCTTATCATCATAGATAGCATCTCCTGCTTCCTTCACAATATTTGTGGCACAAAGGGTTTAGCCTGAGAGTATGTTATATAGTATCTCATCCAGTTTCAGTCTCTGTAAATTCGGTACAAATAAATACAATACTCGGCTGAACATCATAAGCATGTTTCAGGTCATTATTACTTTGGGTTTTGTCAAGCAAAGTTGTCTGTGACAAGCTGCTTTGCTTGACTGCCTGCAGCGACGCCACACGTAATTGAGAAGAACTTATGTTTATTCGCCCGAGAGGAAAAGATTGGACTGAATAACATAATCAGAAATTTGACCTACTGCCCTGCCACAGAGTCTGAACATGGTGACTGCTTTTATGTCCCATCAGTTACCATCATTTGCTTTGCACGACTCATGAAAAATAGAGAACATTAATAATATTGCATTATATGCCACTTCACTCATAAGTGGCTCATCAGTTTGTCTGTGCCCTCCGGACAAGTCCAACAACGACCCGGAAACGAAATTGAATGCGTACTCTTAACAAACTCAAACCGCTTGATCTGGATGCAACAGGTGCACCAGATATTCATCGCAAATGGTCTGAGACTATACCAAGCTTAGACATTATAGGAGATGCTGGCGAAGGCACATTCGGAAAAGTAGTTGTATGTTGAAAAGCCATCCACTTTCTTCCAATGGAACTTGTACATATATTTGCCGTTATATCACATTACTCACTGTATATTAGGCAGCTGGAATCACTAACATAAATCCTTTGCTAGGAAGTGTTCTGGTCCTTCTGGACTGACATCAAGAATGAGAATGGCCAATGTGTGAAATTTGCAGCGAAATTATTTACAAGACCAAAAGTGGTTGACAAGGGTACTGCATTGAAAGATCAAAACTGCCTTGAGGAAGCAAAGCGTGAGGCCCGTCTCATGAGAGAGCTTAGCCATCCGCACATCGTTTGTTTATTCAAGAATACGTCCATCAAGTGCATTTCAGCTTAATAGCTGTCCAGCCTGTCCTTTACAGGTCAAATTTTACGGAGCTTTTGAAAACGAAGAATGCATCGTCATTATACTTGAGTATGCTGAAGGCGGAGACCTATCTAAGCGGCTCAAATCGAGAAAGTCGATACGTTTTTCGGAAGATGAAACGAGAATATACATAAGGTATAGTCTGCGCAACTGTCATAACGTACATCTACTGACCAATCGTGTCCAGGCAGCTCTTAAAAGCATTGCTTCACATACATCGGAAGAATGCTGCACATGGTGATTTGAAGTAAGTCCTTATTCGATCCTGGTATGCCTAATCCAATATTTGAACTGATCTCATCACAAGGCCAAACAATTTAATAATTCGGTTACAGCAACACTGTGACAATGATAGTATCAATCACAGTAGGAAAAGAAAGGAAGTAGTACTCATTGTGGCGGACTTCGGACTGTAAGTAACCCGAAAAGTGAAGTAATAAAGTTCAACTACTGACTTTATCAGGGCTACAATAATCGACAAAAATCTAACAGTAGCAATTAGAGGAACTCTGGGATATATTGCACCAGAGCAATTTTATGGATTGTATACAACAAAAGCAGACATGTGGTCTGTAGGGTATGTATGTCAATAAGGTGCACAGAGAGACTACAAATGAAATGTTATCATAGTGCTATTGCATATAGATTTTTAAATGGTACAGATATCTATAAGCATATTGAGTTTTATTATCATATCTAAATTAAACTAAAGGATAAATACAAGAGTGCTGTTGGAAAAAATATATGGAATGAACAGATAGAAGACATGCTGTGTAAGTCCTGCTTTGAGCATGTATCTGATATTGGTATGTCTATCTAATTAGAAAGAAGTGATATATTAAAATATAATAACTCAAGGGAAAAACTTCCTTCAGTGTTGTCTGGAAGATAACCCATTTTGTAGAATGTCTGCAGAACAGGCATTACAGCATGAGGTGTGTCCATTGTTAAATTAGTATAAAGAGTCTGTATAACTCACTGTATATCAGCCTTTGTATAAATTAAGTGGTTCAATGTTGTTGACTCGGACAGTGAAATACAAACTGGGAATAATTTTAATCCTAGAGCAAGCTTGACAAAGAATATATGTATGATACAAAATTTTAATACTGTTACACAAAAACCAGTAGTGCCTTCCATACATGAGCCAGAAGACAAATGTCAAGAGATGTCTCAAAACAGAATCAGTACTAAAAGCTATGAAGGAAGTCAGGAAAACAACATAAAAGTACAGACAAATTCAGGTACAGAAGAGAGAAGACATGGTCAAGAGTTGAATATTGAGATGCTGGAAGATAAAAGTAGTATGTACCAAAAGTCACATTATAGAGAAGATAAAAGTCACAGCAGAAAATAATTGTAAGTATACAGGCTAACTCAGTCTGAGTCAAACATTCAGAACATTAACTACTTTTTACATAGTAAGATTAGATGGTTTTGTAAAATAACACTTAAACAAGTTAAGGCAAAATATATATTATTCATTATAATAATTTTCCTTAGATAAACACAGCTATCAACAGCTACAAGTATAAGTACATTATAAATCATATTAAGTAAGTCAATTAAATATTGAATTCTTGTCTAACAGAGAAGTACCAAATCAAGCAGCTCTGAGTGCATTTTATTTAGAGAGAGTTAAGTCAAGAAAACAATGTGTTCAACTGACTTTTCATTAAAGATATTATCAATACAGCTGTGAACAGACAGACAGCTAATGTACTTTGTTATTTCTTATACAAACTCATCAGAAAATAAAATCCAAAACCTTGAATAGAACAGAACCAAGAATGGTGAATCCAAACTTGAATGTGTGTGATATCCTTTATCTCATGCTACATCACATTGTAACCCCACTGATTCAATACTTCCCAGGCATAAAATCATCCAAAAGGGATGAACAGTACAGTATATTTCAGACTGTTACAATCACACTCTATATCAGACATTCTGAGTTTTGCCTGAAAATATTATAGAGTAAAGCTAACTGAGACAGGCAGATCTTACACTCCAGACTGTAGCAAAGTCACACAAGACTCAGAAGCAGTTATATCCATTGAGTGAAGAAGCAAAAGGTGTTGGATTCGGCATACTCTAAAGCTGTTCCTACTTCAAATCATACAAAGTTATGAACTCTATCAAGTACTTTGCACAATCCCTAATTTGCAGCCTATATCATGTCAGCCACAAATATCCCATCAGCTTGTATGTACCTTCTATCAAAGACCATCGACGACCTAGAATGCAAGCCATACATAATCTTAGACCGGTTGATCTGAAAGCAACAGATGCACCAAAGCTTCATTACAAATGGTCTAACATTATACCATGCATACACATTGTTGGAGATATTGGTAAAGGCACATATGGGAAAGTAACTGTACACTAATAAGTTTTCTCCTTTCTGCTGCCAGTACACACTGTATACATATTAATCGTTATGACCTGGATTTGCTTCCCATCATATTTCTCGAATTACTAACACAACAATTGCTTAATCAGGCAGTGTTCCGGACTGATATTAAGTATGAAGGAGGTATTTGGGCAAAATTTGCTGCAAAGATATTTGCAAGGCCACAAGTAGTTGACTCTGAGAGCGCTTCAAAGTACAAACAGTGTCTTAAGGCGGCAATATACGAAGCTCGTCTCATGAGAGAGCTGAGCCATCCACACATTGTATGCTTCTTAGTATTACACACGTCTGGTGTATAGCAGAATAACTCCTCCCTCTGTAAAGATCAAATGCTATGGCGCTTTTGAGAATGAAGAATGTATAGCCATTATACTTGAGCTTGCTAGTGGCGGAGATCTATCTGCGCGACTCGAATCAAGAAATCTGAGACGTTTTGCAGAAGACGAAACCAAACTGTACATAAGGTATAATTTGGATAGTTGCTTAAATATACTATCACTGACTATTCATTTCTAGACAGCTCTTGAAAGCATTGATTCACATGCATCGGAAAAATATTGCACATGGAGATTTAAAGTAAGCTCCCTTCGACTTTGGGAAGCCCAACTTAACTAATCGCATCTCCTCGAGACCCAACAACTTGCTAATCCGGTTGCAGCAACATAATGGAGGCCCAGATTCAACTAGGAAAGCAAAGGAAGTACTTGTTGTAGGTGACTTCGGGTTGTAAGTGACTTAAAACGGCACAATATCAAAGTCCGACTAATTAGTCTATTAGGGCTACTGAAATACAAGACAACAAACGTTTAGTGGGGTGTCCCAAAGGAACTCCAGGATATATAGCTCCAGAGCAATTCCGTGGAGAGTATACAACAAAAGCTGATATATGGGCTGTAGGGTATGCATGCTAATATTCTACATAGAGTCTTCTGAAGAAATATTAATTTGTTGTCATAGTGGTATTGCATATACGTTTCTAACTGGCAGAGATATCTATTATGATATTGCACGCAAGTACAGTATCATGATTGATAAATATGATAAATATGAAAGTGCTGTTGGAAGTAATATAACAAATGAAGTTATAACAATTATGCTAGCCAAAGAACACTTTAAACATGTATCTGATCTTTGTATGTACACATTATTGGTAGAAAGAGACTAATTTGTTGAGGTGTAACAATATCAGGGGAAAGCTTTATTTGGTGCTGTCTAGAGACCAAGCCTGACATTAGAAAGTCTGCAGAAGAGGCATTTCAGCATGAGGTGAGATTTTTGTTACATCTTGCATGCAAGGCTTTTTTTGCTCACCTTATGTCTTTCTATACAAATTCAGTGGTTAGCCGACAAAAATGCGGATAATGAAATAGATATTAAGGATGATTTTGACCCAAGAGCTCAACTAAAAAAAAATATACATAAAGTCCAAACCCTTAATACTATTACACAAAAACTAGCAGTATCTTCTAAAAGCAAGTCTCAAGACAAACACAGAGGTTCATCTCAAGATAGAACAAACAATAAAAAACATGAAGGTGGTCTGAAGGACAGTGCAAAAGAAGGGAAAAGTAGTCAACAGTTGAAAACTAAAAGGCCAGAAGAAGAAAATAATTTGCACCACAGTTCAAGTACTAGGAAAGATAAATAATATAGGTAAAGATTAAGATGTTAATAAATAGAATTGAGTCAGGTTGAATTTAAGATTTAGAATTTCAATTAATTTTACTAGTATTGATAGATAATTTAGGGAAACAATACTTATAGTGTACATAGTTTATTATTGATACAAACTATGAAATGACTAGAATTAGAAGTTTTGTAAAACATATTTATTAGCAAAAAAAGGAGTAATGAAAAATATTCAATTTGTTGACAGTACTTAAAAACAATATACCATCTCATTACCAATCTCATTACTAGTAACAGTATACAAATAATAGTGTGCTCTGATAGACTAATTGATTAGGTTGTTCTTTCTTTACAACTTTATCTGTCTATAATTATACAAACCTGCAAGTATAAAGGCCCAGAATAACAACATTATAAGTAAACCATTGGAATGTTAAGTCTTTGGTTTTTAAGAGTACTCAAACCATTGAGATCAGACTAAGAATATCAGCACCTCAAACCAAACCTGTAATCACAAATATCACCAACACAGTTGTGAGTAAAAAGAAAGTTGAGATTACTTTATTACCCTTATCCAAACTCCATAAACAAATCAGTACACGGAAACCGCTAATACAAAGAAAAATGAGAAACAAAGTTGATAAATAACATACGTCTAATCAATGGCAAGGCAATGGGTGGGTGTTAAGTACTACGTGGATATGAACGCGGACTCGGTCGTTTGTTAGTTTTACAAGGCTTGCGTACACGCATGTGAACATAATATGCGCGTACAGATTTTGCGATTACAAGGGGGGAGGACGTAGACGTGAATTGAGAGAGGGGGCCGCTGAACCGAACCAAATCAAAATGGAGTAGTGAATCCGTATATGCGTGATTTTCCTTCACATCACCTTACCACTTCGCTCACTTAATAACTCCCAGGCGCAAAATCATCCCAAAGCGCATCCTCACACCCAAGACTCTCCAACCACTCCTCCGCATGCAACTGTACCCTTCTCTCAGGCCACTCATCCAGTCCCTCCAATTTCCCATACCCATCAATATTATCTTTACTAGCTTTATCATTTTTATTGGGTTTGCGGCGACGAATGGTGTAAAATCGATCGGAGATGTTAACAAGTCTGAGAGACCGCGGGAGGACGGTGTCGACGAAGTGTGCTTCGTCTCGCACTTCTGTACCGAGGAGGGCGAGATAGCGGAGGTTTGGCGGGAGACCTGGTCGCATCGTCTATAATTCGCAAAGTTGCATCAAAATGAGGACGATTATCTACTTGAGAGTAACAGAGACGTACAATCATAAACTGTTCACAATTCCTCCTTGGTACTCCATTCAAAAGCAACGCAAGCAAGCCTCTAGGAATAATCCACGAAAACAACCCAGGACTCGCATCCTTCGTAACCGTCACCGCAAGCTGCCTCAATTTTCCCAGACTGGGCAACACACCCAACACACTGGCATCATATCCGAAACTCTTCTGATTCGACTCGCCTGCAACGTCAAGCTCCAACTTCTCCAAGTCGGGGTGCGAACGAAGGAATTCAGCAATCGAAGGGAAAAGCATGGGGTCGGTCGCCTTGGCTCCTAAGTGGTCGAGTGCACGAAAACCGAAGTATTTGAGACGTGGTAGGGCGTTGGGGAACTTCCTAAACGCGTCCGACACACCCGTGAGGAGTACACAATTCAGACGAAGACTGACGAGCTGGTTGCCCGCCGCGAAGATCTGCTCCAACGTATCTGCACACGCAGGCACGGTACCCACAAACTCCAAATGCGTTAGGTTCCCAAACGATACTGCAGGAGGCGCTGGAAATGCAGCATAGTATGCACACAAGCACAGTTTCTTCAGTGTACTCCTATTCTGCGCGAGGAACGTCCCGAGCGAATGGCTCGCATGATCGCGCACGATTTTGAACTGCGATAGATGTGTAAGGTGTGGTAACACAGGCTCCGAATCATGTTCAGGTTCGATAATCAAGCTCTGCAGCCTCGGATGCGTCGAAGTCAACACTTCCGCAAATCTATTCCAAACTTCATTCGAGCCAGCGAATATGACTTCCTTCAAGTGTATCAATTTTGGTAATGCAGTTGCCAACATGTTTGTTCGAAACGCCATATGCTGACTACGATCCGTCCTTTCCGCAGAGATCCGCACGGTTTTGATGAGCTTCGCAAAGGACGGATCAAGCACAATCCTCGCCACGATATCAGCCGTTCGTTGAGCAAGTTGCTTTTCGAGACGGTAACCAGGCCGATCGGGATGGTCTTGATCCCCATCGCCCCAGTTTTTGTCCTCACCATTCAACCTGCATACGCCAATATGCAGATCAACCCGTTCAAATACGAGTTCGAATGCAATACGAGAGAGGACGTGTGGAATTTGCATGAGCGTTTTGAGGTCGCGTCGAGGGAGTAAGGAGGCGATCTGCCGCCAGAGCTCTGGTGAGAGCCGTCGCGAGGCGCTCTCAATGCTCCATAGCCGAGACTGAATAATTTAACGATTAGTGAATAAGCCTTGCACGTAGAAAACAAGGAAGTTGTACAAGTACGCTCTATAACGGTATCAATCCAAATGCCGAAATTTGTCAGAAATTTGAACATGCAGTCATTGTTACAACAGAAAGTTTACCCGACTTTATTCTACGCATACCATCATACCTTTCAAGAACTGAACACTCACGTCTTTAGTACCTTGAGAACTTGACGAGGGGATGGAGAGCAGAGAATTAGCGACGGCATGGTCGGGTACGAGTTCGAGTACTTTGTGAAGGTCTGTTTATGATTGGGAGGGATGAGGGACGAGGCGGACCGACGCCGATCATGAAGGTTAAGCAAACTCAAATATTGTGACCGTATCGACCGGAGTTTACGCACCTTGTCTTGCCTTCCCGATGTCTCCCGCCGCCATGCGTGCGCGGCCGCGCAGAAGAAGCGCCTGTACGCGCTGCGGCGTGCCGATTTTGGCCGCCATCAGACAGCTCATCACGCCGTTCTCGACGATATGGTGTGAGAACGGACTGGAGAGGGCACGAAGGGATGCGTTGGTTTGTCAGCACATCAAGACAGACTGGTGACGAGTGAAGAAGCAGGAAAAGGAAACGTACTTTGCGAGTTTGAGGAGGTTCATGGCATGGATGAGCACTTCTGCCTTCTGTTCGTTCGACAGGCGTTCTGTGACGTCGCGGATGCTCGCATCGAGTATGCGCGGGTTGACGACATCCTGTGGTGAGGCGGCGACGACAGCAGTGCGACTGAAGTAGCGCGATGGCTCGTGGTGGGGATGGGAGTGGGGATGCTGAGCAGACATGGGTGAGGGGAGGGTGAGCCGGGGGAGAGCTGGCGGGCAAAAAGAATGGATGGTTGTTCAACTAAGTATGAATGAATGTTTCCTACGGCACGATACTCGCACTCTGATTGGCTGGACAGTTTATACGACCCACTTACGTTGCTGCTGACAACACGCCCAAACAACTCAACCAAGCCAAGTATATACTTAGCCCTTGCCCCTCACCCATTTCCCGTACGTACTTTTCCCGCACTGCCTCTTGCAGCAATCTTCTTCCCCGTCTGGGCAGCAGCTCGAGACTCTCGGTCTTTGCTTAGCCCAATCTGCCCTATCGTCGCGTCTATCATCGGACTCGTACGGCCTGCACAGTATGACCTGAGAAACTTTCCTTCCATTTCTTATTCTTTCATTTTATTCGCAAGAGCCATCCGTATTCTTCTCTTCTCCAATACCGCATACATGCATCAACCTACACTGACTACAACCTCCGCGCACCTCTTGTCATGAACTTATCCCTTCATCTTCTCTCTATCTAAGTTTACTGTGACGGCATTGGATCATCATTGCTTGCCAAGCTCGGCATTGCGCTAACCATACAAGGAAAAACACATTGGCATTGGTCGGCCAACTAGATGGGTCAAGCGGAAGATCCAGACCCGCGCAGGAGACAAGAATGAACAAGAAACATGAATGGCTGAATAGATAATTGAATTAATCGAATTTCATGTATGCGTGGCATGCCGCCTCGTCTCACTTCGGCCGCGATAGCCATCGAAATTTTGATACCGCGCCTTCCCGCCCCAGAACGTGGACCTCATATACGTACACTACTGCTTCATGCATACAACAATCGCCATTAATATAACTCTCCGATTTAATATCCTCTCTTCTTACTTTCTCCGTAGACGTGTTCAGAATCACTCTCGGTTTCGGTCAAAGAGCCCCGCGAGATGGCACGTGGTTACGCACATAAATTTACCCATTAATATTCGTTCGCGCTTTTTAAGCTTTTCGCGTGTCCGACCCGTCATCCGCAGTGAACCAACTGCGTCATTAAGGCAGGAAGAGAAACGTTGCCAGTACGGTCTCTAAGGATTCCACGCGGGGTTTTCATCCCAAGACGAACGCTACTCCGTTTAGCCTTCAACTGTTCATCCGCTTATAGGCTTATGAGCCAACAAAAGAGCCCTCGTCGGCACCCGAGTTTCCCTTGGGCTTATAAACGCCTCAGACCTCAAGGCTCAAGACTTCTCGCACTTCTCGGATTAAGGGGTGATATGGGCTATGTGTGCCTGTTCTCTATCGGTACCGACCCGTGCGGTACCTAACAGAGGTCTAATGGTACTAGCAAAGTCCGTTCCGTCGGTGCGCAACCTTGGCTTGTTTGACTAATTACTGTTTTCCAACAGCTTAGCGACCTTTGCAGAAGCTTAACACATATTCATTTGTCCCTCATTGACCCTGTTTGAAATCATTGATACCATCGCTACCACCAGTTTCTAAACAGCACTCATTAATTGTATAGCTGTGGTCTACACTATCAACCGAAAAGTTCGGCGTTAAACTTAAGCTTCTTAGGAAGCCGTACTTTCTCTGATTATCAGCTCTAACCTAACTGCTATACTTGTTGACGTTTATACAACACACCTTACCACCACTTCGTTCCTTTGTAGACTCTGTTCCTTCACCTTGCTTCGTTTCTCTTGGATCCGACTCCATCCACCTTACCGCCTTACTTACATCCTTGCACTCATTTCTATCCTCATATAGATTTTCTGTCTTCTCCCCCTATCACGCTTACCTTGTTCCATACTGAACAGTTTAACTCCTCCGAGTACACCCGCAGATCCCCATTGAATGAGTTACTCCTGTATATCTTCTAATACCGGACTTCCGGGACGGGTCTATAATCCTAATGCACAAGAAAGGATATAGAGTAAGTACGAGACTTCGGACGCGCGAGAGCAAACTCGAAGATTGCCAAAGACACAATACGTATCATTCATGCTTAGTATGGTATGGTATGGTATATTTCCTGGTATAGGTCCCTAAAAAGAAACACCAGGGCTGCTGGTCTATTGTACAAATACAGGGTAATTTATCTATAATAAAGAAACCACCCTGTCCAGCAATGTTCAGGGAACTACTAATGCAATAGACACTCAATGCTTCTCCAACTGTGTACCAGAAATGAGACAAAAAGTATATGAGCTCTTGAGAGGTAAGGGAACATGGGTACACGGGAGAAGATGCTATTTTCACAGTAGAAATCCATCATGAACAGTATTGAGAGATTATAAATGAGAATCACTAATAGAGTTAGTTGTGACCTTAGTAAAGAGAGGAGGCAGAAAAGTAAAAGAAGATTGACGAGTAAGAATAGGGGTTGTAAGCAATTGCAACACCTTCATTTTGAGTAGCTCATTTTGTTTTTTCTTTTATATATTTGATAGTATGCTACACTAGTAGCATTATAGAAGTATATTGAGTAATTTTTGGTCTTTTATTAATGATGTAGATGTAGTAGCAATTTATTGTATTTTTTGAATAATTTTCGTGGTGGTGGTTCGTGGGAGAGTTCGGGGGTCTTTGTCTAAAATTCCACGACGATCGGTGTCCTCCTATAACATCTACAGGTGTGTAGCAAAAGTGTTCGTCATTCCTCAAAAGGTAAGTGTATTTGTAAGTGATTTGCATTGACTTATAAGACTGTCAGAGACACATTAAACCTTTGTCTTACATTTCTGGCATACATGAACACATTATACACACAAAAAACATGAAAAATACAAGCCATTTTGTGAAAATAATGTAAAATTCTGTATTTTTTTGTACTTCACAATGTGTAGATCAAAGCTTTGTCCTACATCTAATTTCTATGTATGGTATGCAAATCACTTACAAATACATCTACCTGTTAAGGAATGACGAAGACTTTTGCTACATACCTGTACTACAGATTAATTACTCCTCGGAGAGCCGAATGAACGGATCATCAGTAAACAACCACTCAGATTTTTTCTCGACTCCCGGCACGTCGCTTGTAGCAGAGAATCGCAACATGCTTCAGTACACCGACTTTATGGGTTCAACGGCAGCGGTACCAATGCAACCGGCATGTCGAACAAAACAAATGAGTAAATGACCACATCGTGCTGGGTTGGTACATTTTTCAATATGGATTCCATACGTAGATCCATATGGTCCTATGCATTTCGAAAAAGACGAACCGCATGATCCATACACGACATTTTTCCTTTTCTTCGTTCTTCAATGCTTACTTGGTTACTAATCCTCGGAGCAGAACACCACATGTATGTCTCACAAGCAAGCACATGGTATCCACGTTTCCATGCCTTCTTAATAAAATCATTGCATTGTCAATTGCGCTGTGTGTAATGCTACGTTACCAACCCTCGAGACGGGAACGCATCTCCATGGTTCCAAGACACGAGGACATCAATGTCATTACAAGAAGCAGGATGCGAGTCTCCGGAGGTCCAGAGTCTCGGAATTGTCCATATAGCCATACGGTCGTTGCGGCCACCGCGTGGAAGGTATTGTTAGAAGAGAAAATGACAAGGTCAACATGGCTTCCGCATTTCTATTAAGCCACTCATATGTGGAAAGTGTAAGAATAAGAGAGCAATGATATTCATTATCTATACTTTCTAGAGGAATCTCCGGATCTGAACACGCAAGGGGCATTCTCATTCTCACTTTTACTGTAATTTGCGTTAAGCAATATCGGTCTTACAATAATTGGGTATTGAAGTATTCGGCTATTAAGTAACCGATACGCACACCGCTCAACCTCTCAATCAATCACGAATCCCTTGTTGCATGCATACACAACGAAATAGCACGCCGGTCTGCCCCGGGACTCTCATTTGAAACACCAATTAACCTTTCTTCAGTAACATCGACGGGATCAAACGGATGCCAAGTACGTGGCTCCTTGGCTTTTGCATTTATATCCGTATCAGTGCATGTGATAAAAAAAGAGGCGTCTTTACTATGCTGATTCAGTTCCACGTCATCTATGGTCCAAGGGAGTATCACGGGTAAATTATACAGCAACTACTGGCTAAATGCCGGCCATGCCCTCCCTCATCTCCTCCTGCATCTATAATTCGAATTAAAGGATTATTGCAGTCAGAAATGATGAGATCAATCGTTCAAATGACAAGCGAATTGCGTACCCAAGGCCGATCAACATCCAACACATACTTCCTTGCTGGCCTCCTCCAACATGCGACATTCTCGACTTCCTCCCCCGTCCGTAGCGGTATTACAATACCAAGTTCATAGTTGACGATCTATCTCGGGGCAAACCATGTTCAATTCAATTCAATTCAGCGAAAATAGATCCAAATACGGCATCAGATACGGAGAAGGAAGCAAAAGGTTAGCTTAAAGTTCTCCTCGGCTTTACCATACAAAGAAAGGCAAGAAAAAGAAACATAGAAGCAGAAGGTCGTATACGAGATCGAAACAGGGGTAAAGGATGGGACAAGGTGTATGATAAATTAAGAGCGAGGGGTACGGAGGGCACGAACTCGGATAAAAGGTATAAGTTAACGCGGCCACGCACGAAACATCGAACCGAGATTCAAATGCTGGGACAGGAAAAAAAAGGAAAAATCAAATCACAGTACTCACATTAAGCGACGGCTTATCAACCGAGCCGGACACCGTACCCCACGCTGATGGCGTAAAATTATGCGAACCAACATAGGCCCAGCCAGCCAACCGTTCTTCGCCTCCATCTCCGTCGCTCATAGATGAAGGACGCATCTGGGCCTCGGCATTGTAATCCCCGCCTTCTCTAACTGTCAAATCATCCCGCTCCTTACCCACCTGACGCCCGCCTCGACTTCTACCTTGAACAAAGGGCGAGACTCGATCCTTGAATGTACCGACGATCATCTGTGTCCATATCCACCCAATCGTATCGACCATTCGGTGTTGTTAAGCATCAAATCGGGAGTACCAATCACGTAACACCAGAACGTTCGAATCAAGTCCCGTAAGTTTGGCGCAATGGGATAAAGTTGAGCGTCGAATCAAGCAGAATCGCATTTTCAAACATGGGCAAATGGGTAAAGTTAAGTCAGTCCCTGTACATTTTTGATCAAATCGCCGACCCGAAACAAAACTCGCAGATGGGGTCGGAAAGGGCCAACTTGGAGATGAATGTGGTCACCTTTGAATGCATGAGCACGCGCCCACGTTTACTGTTCGAATCATGGAACAGCTCCCGAGGGAAATTCTTCGACTCCCATTGTGCCTTCCTACAGAACATGGTTCCTCCGCCCTACATACAATGAGTTATTCAGTCAACTCGATTTTCAAAATCAACATCGCGAAGGTGTTTAAAAGGGAAACGGCAATGAACCCAGAACCAGCTCAGAAGTTATGCTGACATACCGGCATACCAAGCACACTATCCTTCACAGTTGCCAGTGATGGGAATAAAATCTTAATGAGTGGCCACGCCAACTTCATACGCTGGCTTCTCGGTTTATTAAGCCACGCCTTCGCGCTCTGGCCCTTCGCAGAGCAGTAAATCTCGTCCATCCATTGACGTGAATACGTTCCTATGCTGGATCCCTGTTACACGAATCCATCAACAGCTATTTCTCCAACTCCACATGACGATGAGGTAAAGAACAAACCCACCTGGCATTCTAGCACGAGTTCCTTCCCTTTGGGCGGTGTCACTCCCAGCTCTTGAATAGCTTTCGCAAGGGCAGGATGGCCAGTTCGTTCGACTTCATCCCATCCTTCGTATTTCCCCGCCAACGACGCAACAAGCTTGACTTTCACCTTTGACCAATCCCATCGCATACGAAGCTCCGAGAGTGCCTCGATCGGTAGTTCAGGGAACTGATAGTGAACTTTTTAGTCATCGGACTGATGAAATGTTTTCCTAACACACATACATTTCCGTCAAGGAGTTTCGTCAGAGCTGCTGGCACATTCAATTTATGCAGAACTCTTTGTAGTGTTCCAGGGAAATCGGCTGCTTTGGGATCATGTCGGATCGTAGTCTTTCGCATTGGTACGTCCTGTACCCAGGCAGTCTACCACCACATTATCAGCACCAATGACTAACAAGAAAGATATCAACGGCAGGAAGGACTAACATTCTCAATATCCCTCCAATCATATTCGACGAAATTTGCAGTCGGAAGACAAATCCTCAATCTTCCATCTTTGTAAAACAGCTACCGTCTCCCCATTTCATCAGTTGCGCTGATGGTAACGTAAGGTGACATACCAGTAATATCTATCCAAGCGAATCATTCAGCACACTTCACCCACGTAGATAATTTTCGATGGGAGAAATAGTGAGACTGACCTTGATATGCATGCATCCTCTTCCGTTTCGAATAAATGGCTTCGTCATCAGGATATTCGGAGCAAGTTCCTTCAATCCAGAATTTCCGTCTTCACCAGGTTGATTAACAAGGACAATGGGAGTTGTGGGCTCGAAGAAGTCGTATAACCAATCAACAGCATTTGAATACGAGGATAGAATTGCTAGTGTGATATCAGACTTCTATGAAAATCCAAAGCAATAGATCGTATCAGAAACGGGATATTTAAACGATGTAAATTAAACAAAAACAAGAAGATACTGACCGGTCCAATAATCTCGGACAACCGAAATGTAGGCCAGACATCTTTGTCACGATCCACAAGCCTATTTGCAACCTGCCGCAATTCACCATCCCAGAACAAATCGCTTTCATTCTCCTTACCTCTGCTAACTTTCAGTCCTGCAGAAGTAGATCCGTCCGCCTTCCCATTGACTGCTGCCGAGTCCAACTGTTGCGTCTGCGAAGACCCACCACTTCCCCGTGGCCGCGGCGGCGGCGGAGAAATCCGTTGTCTTTTGGAAGGCGGAGTGATAATACGAGTCGCGTCCGCTGCAACCCCAGCTGCAGCTTCGGTATGATCAAACGAGGCGTTCGACACAACCTCATCTGTGACCTCTCCTCGAGCCCTCTTCAACCTTGCCAGCCTCTCCCTCTCCATTTTTGCTCTTTCACTTAGGAACTTCAGCCTTGAGCCCTCCTCCACTCTATCTTTCTGCTCACTCTTCTCTCCTCTTTTGTTCTCACCCACCTCTGTATCTTCCGGCTTTTCCATCTGCCTATTCTCGCCTCCAAATTCTTTGTGTGCTGCTAATGTGTCTTTGGATACCGTCCTTTGTTTCCTCGAATCAGAAGTAGATCCCGTAGCCTTACTAGCCTCGATTGCAGCTTGCAAATCCCTCTGAAACTGTTTCTCTTCGTCATCGTCCTCATTCCCCGCTGCCGGCGTGTCGCGTCCAATGTCCCTCCACCTGCGCGTTGGTTTCATCGCTTCTTCCAAACTAAGTGCGATGGCTCTAGTAATACGTCATTAGTTCCATTTATTGCCTTCGGTGTCGAGTCAATTAACCTTCGGAGATCTTCATCCTCTTCCATGGCGAGAGTACTAACGTGGTTGACGTCGTGAAAACATTCCACTGACTCAGTGACTGTGGAATATTTTTGGATTGTTGCGAGTGTCACGTGTTCCGTGTCATTGCACACCGGGCCACACCCCAACTGCATAATACTTTACACCCGTTTGCATAAATAATGAGACTTTTCGATTTTGAGCGACGTGATGTAATGTAAGAAATCACATGATTTTTTAGACTTAGAGGAAATTCGTGGGCACAAGATAGCGAATGAGACGCGTCGTGCCAGCGTCTATGCATATATTTTGAGCTGCTACAATCATGGGTAACCACTGCATCAGTAGAGACCTCAAAATCTGCTGTCTAAGACTGTATGACCTCAATATTCTAAGCTTGGACAACATTCTAAACTGTGTGAGATTCTCTCAGGCTACTTTTTTTCGCATTTGCAAACTCTGGGAAGAAACAGGCAATGTCATTCGCCCAACAACTGCTTGGCACAATAGCAGCAGAGGAGAAGCGACTTTGATAGAAGTAAGACATTATAGCACAATAGAATAGCAATAGACAGGTTGAAAAGTTAGGGACAGGTAGCAGGAGGTAGACTGTATGCACAGACACTGGCACGACGTGTCTCATTCACTCTGTCTTGTGCTCGCTATTTTCCTCGCTAAGTTCAAAAAATCATGTGATTTCTTACTTTTCTTCACTTTGCTCAAAATCAGAAAGTCTCATTATATTTGCAAACGGCTGTAAAAGGGCAAGCTTGAGTCTCGTCGCCGCAGCAAGCCAGCATTGCGATTATCCAATGTGGCACGCAAAAGCCCCATCAGATCGATTTGATGAGATCCTAATACAGTATGCAAAGGAGTAGCCATTAAGTAGACGGGAGGGTCCATTGCAACAGCATCAACATTTTGCGTTCTGCTCTGCGCTGGGTTCCAACAGTCCAACTTCGAAGTACGTGCCACCATACTTAGACTAGCCTACAAAGTGAACCCCTGCCTTCTTGGGACGCATTAATATTGCATATTTTTGTCTCTTGTCTCACATACAGACTCGACTACAGACACGTGCAATAAGTGGTTGTAAATTCTAATGGATCAGAGTCTCAACCACCTGAGGCCTCTATTCCAAGGTAAAGATGGTGAGCCCACGTTTCATGAAAACTGGACCTGGGAAGAGAATAAAGGCGGAAAAAACGTACCGCGGAAGATGAAGATTATGAGATGGTTAGGCAATGGAACTTACGCTCGCGTTGGGGTATGTCGAACTTTCTCTACTCCATCTCTCATTTGAAATGAGTGAGAATTCGATTGAAAACATGGCTTTGTCAGGTTATCAAACGAGATGATATCATAAAAGGCCAGAAGCTAGAGTTTGCTGCCAAAGTCACCAGGAAATGGAGAAACCCAGATGGTACAATACGTATTGATGAAGAAAATCAAAGGGCTAAGAAGTTTACATTCAACGAGATAAGAGTATTAGCAGTAGCAGGGCTGGCACATAGAAATGTGGTATGTCGAGAGTCTGAACCCCGGAGTAAACTACAATAACTAATGCTTCAAAGATCAAATGTTATGGAGCATTTGAGAATGATAATTCGTGGGTCACTGTTCTTGAATATGCGAAAGGAGGGGATCTCTTTTCTCGTCTGAGGGAGCTCAGGAGAGCCGGGAGATTCTCTGAGACGATCGCAGCGAATTATATAAGGTGCAGGCCATTGAAAACCGCCATCGACTTGTACTTACATTCAGTTCGAATTCAAAGGCAAATGGTTGAAGCACTTGTTTATCTTCATTCGAAGAAGATTATGCACAGAGACTTAAAGTGAGCCACCAATGCAAAACAATAATTAATGATTATCTCCAAATAGTAGTTAATTGGGTATTCACTTAGACCAGAAAACTTTCTTATAAAAGAAAAATGTGGCACCTTTACCGAAGACGTCCTCCTACTCAGTGACTTCGGATTGTATGTTCTCTTACTCTATTATCAAATTGCTGGTCTGCAGTTTCTCGTATTGCTCTTAGTGCAAAACATAGTGAAGATCTGAAAGGAACGCAACTCTGTGGAACCGTTCCCTTTATGGCCCCAGAGGTCATCAGGATAAAAAATAATGAATATTATACAGAAAGGGTAGACATATGGTCACTTGGGCATGTATTTATTCTATTTGCCTTCAAATCAATACATAAACGTCTTTTTATAGAGCAGTTACATACGATGTATTCACTGGCACAGAAGTCGACAGAGCTGTCCCGCCTCACGGGCTTCCTCCCAGTACAGACCAAAAACTCTTGCAGATTACTGTAGCAAAGGCAATTACCAATGAGCAGATTGAGAAGTATGTGATAGCTGGTAATCGAATGCAGCATATATCAGAGATTGGTAAGTAATGTTGAATGTTGAATAGATACACAAAGTGGCTACAATTCAGATATTCACTTCAAATGATAGGTTGAGAATTTTTGCACTGTTGCCTGAACGTTGACCCTGACAGTAGATTACCTGCAGAGATTATTCTAGGGCATAAGGTTAGAGTGCAGGCTTATAAATGATGCTAAATGTTTATAATATTGTTTTCTATTTTTTAGTGGTTCCAAAACTGTGACAATGCACTGTGGAACAATGATACACTAGATAGATGGAAAAGCAGCTTGATATATGCTCGGAACGAAGCCCAGAAAATATTGGACAAAAAGCAAGCTGAGGAAAGCAATGTTACTAAATCTACAGATTCTACCCACCAAAGGGTAGAAAAGCAGAGTAAGCACTTCTCTGCTATAAGAAGAACTATTGCAAAGGCAAAAGAGACTATAAAAGTTAAGACAAGTAAGAGGAAAGGAAAAAAATGAACAGATACAGTAGAAAACACAATTCAGATCAAGTTATTCTAAAAACTCTCATACCTCATAGTTCAATCAGTAGTTTTACTCTATAATACTGTGCTATTCTGAGACTCTTCTGTTAATTAGTATTCTACTCAATATACTAACAATATTATAATAGCACAAAAAGAATTCGTTTTAGTGTATATAGTACAGAACTAGTAGCTGTCAGCAACAGTGTAGAGGGGACCCAAAGGCTCAGCAAGGGGACCCAGGCTACAACTATCCTACACAACAGAAATACAGAATGTGAGTACTGGAACATAGTCAGAACTTGCAGAACAGGCAGAGAGAGAGAGTGAGACAAGAGTAGAGTATATAGAGTGAGCCTAAGAGTACAGGACTACCTGGAGTAGACAAGATCAAGACTACCAGACCAGTCTGTATCTTGTAT